TTTTTTTTTTTTTTTTTTGTAGTTTTTGGCCAGGGGCTTGGTTTGAACCTACCACCTCACCTTACTCCTTTGAGCCACAGATCAAAGCCACCACTGGATCAGATATATTTTTTAAAAATTCTAGTGCTCGTCAGTCAAAATTAGCTCATTCGTCCACTCCAGTGTGAGACCCAGTGTCTCAGCTGGAGTTGACTGAGCTGCTCAGAGCAGCCAGATCCTGGTCACGAGTGTCCCTCCTTGCTCTGAGGGTCAGACTAGCTGCCCACTGTCTTTTCTGTCCTGTGCAGTTGAGAGTCTTGGGGTCAGGATGCATAAATAGACTCTCCCATGTGGCAGTTTTCTATTAGCTTGGAGGAGTTTCTTTTTAAAGCACTACTGGCCGACCTGAAAGTACACAGCAGAGAGGTCCATTAGAGGTTGCCCTGAAGCTCCAGCTGACTTGAGCAGGAGATGGAGGAGAGGACGTGGCCAGCATTCCAGGTCTGGCCACTACTGTGCTGAGAACTGACACTTCTTATTGTGGATGCCAAGGTGGCCGTGGATCCTTCGGGTGATGTTACAAATTGCCCCGAGGAGCCAAGATGACAGTTAGGGTCAGGGAATTCGGGAAGTGTAGGCATTGAAACCTAGCTATCTATGTGGAAATTAAAAAAGAAAAAGAACCCTCGGTTCTACCAAAAAAGGGCGTGGGGGGAGTATGGTCCTATTTATGACCACATAACAAAAACATCCCCATGGAGTGTCCCTTAGTAATGAGACAGACCTTTAAAAACTGTCTAGAATTGTAGATATTTGAACATTTTGTTCTTTTGTACTAAAAAGAGAAAGTAGCACATAAAATATCTTGCTGAATATGATGCTGTTTTGTTTACAGGTTAAATGGACCCAAAAATTTAACTTTGAAGAAGCAATGTAAAAATTATTATTGTGGCCACTTGGACCTTAGAATCAGCCTCACCCCTGAATCCCCTGAGTCCACTTTCACAGCCAAGGTTACCGCCAACAACAGTCTTGGAAGCTCCTCTTCCTCTCCATCCACATTCACATTCTTCGACATAGGTACGTTTTATCTCACTTTTTGTAGGTATCATTCATTGGCACTTGGTAATTCTTTTAAGCATCACTCAAATCTTTCTGTATGCTTGTTTCAAAAAGGATAGAAGTTGATGGAAAGTGGCCAGTGGGCATGGGCAAAAGACAAGTTGCTTTGATGGACATGATGGAGGGCGTGACCTGGGGCTATGCAAAGGTGCCCTGTGAAATGGGAGAGTCCACATTACTCCCACTGTTGGAAAATTGAGCCCTTGGCGTCAAATCTTATGAAAGAACCACCTGGCAATGACGCCATCTGACTGGGGAGAGGAGGGTCTTATGAGGTCATTCCAGAAGCTCAACGTAGGCTCTTCTGGGGAGGAGGTGTCCTTGCATCCCCTGGCCATTCCCACTGTTCTGAGACAGGCCACCTGCAGGCTCCTCCGTGAGTGCAGCTAGGTGACTCAGGTACAGTGTTTGGAGTCACACAAGCCTCTTGCTCTGAAATTGTTTGCCTCCACCTCTCTCGTCAGCTTGGGGCAGGAGTGAGCCCATTCCAGCACATTTCAGAGTGAATATGTTGGTCAGTTGGATCAGAGGCAAGTTCTGGGTGAGGCCTGCCTGCACTTCCCTCGACCTCACACCTGCATCTGCCTCCCCTCTCCCCAAAGCGGCCCTCTGCATACAGGCTGGGCTGTGGGCTGGGGAGCACTTTCCTCCCGCACCTCGCCTCATCCCTCTCTGTCTCTTCACTCAACCCTTTTCTCAAGGCCATCCTTTTCCCTCTTTCCCCTGGTCCTCTGTGCTGCTGCTATGACTTTACCTACTAAATTACCTCCTCCCCGAGGATCCTCACTCATGCTCTGGCCTCTCAGGCATCGGGACTCCCAGGCTTGGTACTTTGGTTTTTTGAAGGTCAGTAAGTGAAGTGCAGTCCACACAGCCCTGATGGGGTAGATGGTATTCGGTAAGAATGCATCGGGTCAGGAGGATTAATTTAATGATTCACAAGTGAATCCAGTGTTTTTTCTTTTCTTTCTTAAAGCCAGGCTCTTCTTTCTCATACGTTTTACCAAACTCAGAGGTTGTGTATCTTAGAAACAATTTTGCTCAGCTCCCTACAGTGCGTGACCAGCTCCGAGGGTGATTTCACATCATGAATCCTGAACCACACTCCTTTCTCTGTCCTGGTTACTAGTGAAGCCTCTTCCTCCGTGGGACATTTCCATCAGATTCCAGAATGACTCTGCCAGCAGATGCACCCTGCAGTGGAGGGATGAGGCCCTGGTGCTGCTCAGCCGCCTCAGATACCGGCCTGCTGACAGCGGGCCCTGGACTACGGTAAGGGCCTCGGGACGGAGGGGACAACGTCAGAAAAGACATCATTTTCTTTCTAAATTACCCAGTTTTAGGTATTCTTAGTATTTCTGCACAGACCTCTGTCTTTTCATACCACCAAAACATGAAGTTTAAGAATATTAGCCCCTGGCTCAGTGCCTGTAGCACAGTGGTTATGGTGCCAGCCACATGCACCAAACCTTTCAGGTCAAACGTGGTCCAGTATCAGCTAAACAACAATGAAAACCACAATAAAAAGCAATAGCCTGGTGTTGTGGGCACCTGTAGTCCCAGTTACTTGGGAGGCTTAGACAAGAGAATAGCTTAAGCCCAAGAATTTGAGGTTGCTGTGAGCTGTGATGCCATGGCACTCTACTGAGAGCAACATAGTAAGACTCTGTCTCAAAAAAAAAAAACAGAATGTTAGCCCCAAAGTACACACTTAGGAGCCATCAGAGACGTCAGCACACTGAGCCCCTCACTGAGGGACACCTGTGCCACCCACAGCTCTGCAGAGTTTGCAAGGGCAAGAAGGTTCTCACCAGAACCAGAGGTCAACCCTGAGCACCTCGGTCTCTGTGACTATGGGCAATAAATCATTTTTCTTTCTAAATTATCCAGTTTCAGGTATCCTGTTTTAAGTTAAAAAAAAAAACAGACTAATGTGGAAAAGCAGTACTGAGAGGTGCTGATCAATACCTGGAAGTGAGGAGGCAGCTCGGGAGCCGGGGACAGGCAGAGGCTGGGAGAGTGTGCGGGAGCAGGCAGAGGAGGCCGGGATTTAGGAGGCCCAGAGAACAGGCAGAGGCTGGGAGAGTGTGTGGGAGCAGGGCAGAGGAGGCCAGGCTTCGGGAGGCCCGGAGAACAGGCAGAGGCTGGGAGAGTGTGTGGGAGCAGGGCAGAGGAGGCCAGGCTTCGGGAGGCCCGGAGAACAGGCAGAGGCTGGGAGAGTATGCGGGAGTGGGCAGAGGAGGCCAGGCTTCGGGAGGCCCAGAGAACAGGCAGAGGCTGGGGGAGCGTGCCGGAGCAGGCAGAGGAGGCCGGGCTTCGGGAGGCCCGGAGAACAGGCAGAGGCTGGGAGAGTGTGCAGGAGCAGGCAGAGGAGGCCGGGCTTCGGGAGGCCCGGAGACCAGGTAGAGGCTGGGAGAGTGTGCGGGAGCAGGGCAGAGGAGGCCGGGATGCGGGAGGCCCGGTGACAGGCAGAGGCTGGGAGAGTGTGCGGGAGCAGGCAGAGGAGGCCGGGATGTGGGAAGCCCAGAGAACAGGCAGAGGTTGGGAGAGTATGTGGGAGCAGGCAGAGGAGGCCGGGATGCGGGAGGCCCGGAGAACAGGCAGAGGCTGGGAGAGTGTGCGGGAACAGGGCAGAGGAGGCTGGGATGCGGGAGGCCCGGCGACAGGCAGAGGCTGGGAGAGTGGGCGGGAGCAGGGCAGAGGAGGCCGGGATACGGGAGGCCTGGAGACCAGACCAGGGCAAGTCTGGGACTCCCTAGAGGTGGAGCAAGTGCTTGTGGCTGTGACTCAAATGCAGATAGAAGTGTGTGCAGTGAGGGCCCCTCTCATGAGGTTTCAGGTGGGACAGAGAAGCCGGGCATTGGAGTCGGGAGCCGTGCCTGTCATTGCTTTGGGGGAAGGACATGGCCAGCTGTGTCCATGCCGGGGGTTTGCAGAAGTAATGGAAGAGCAGAAAAATTATCTATCAGGAAAAATTTCTAAACTTCCCAGGCTGCTGCATGATTCTTTGTAACTTCATGGTGACCTGCTAGAAAGAAGAGAAACAGCAGAGAGATCTGGAAACTTCTCAGCATGGCCAGGTGGTTGAGGGTGAAGAAGGCCAGTCAGGAGGAGGAAGGCCGGACCCCCCCCCCCCACAACCCTCTGCTGAGGATGCTGTCGTGGGTAGGGGGAGCCAGGCGCTGTTCCTCAGGACCCTGGAAGGGGGACTCTGAAGGCATCTCAGAGATCTCCCAGTCCAGCCCTCTGTGCTGCTGGCCACAGCCTCTCTGCCCGCCTTGGGGCTCCTGCTCAGCCTCTTTGCCCCCCCTCCTCACCCCGGGTGTGGCTCAAGCTACAGAAGGTACAAGTCCACATAGGACTAATTTGGCAGAAAGCAAGAATGGGGAGGCTCTCGCTTGGTAACTTGTACTCAGATCTCAAAGGATGCTGTAGAAAGCCTGGGGGTTCAGGCAGAGCCCTGCAGGGCTGGAGGCACCAAGGGACCCCACTAGCACAGGGGATGTGAGGCTGCTTGAAGTCTTTGGGGTCCAACCCTGCACCCCTATGCCTGGGATGTCAGACATGGAGTCAAAGAAGGTTATTTTAGAGTCTTAAGACCCACTGTCTCTCTCTTGGGTTTCAGACTTGCATTGGAGCCTGTGACCACTTTCTTCTTGCCCACTTCTCCCTTTGGGGAAGGAACGTGTGCCCTCTGCTTGGGGATGGGACATGTGCCCTCTGCTTGGGGATGGGACACGTGCCCTCTGCTTGGGGATAGGACACGTGCCCTCTGCTTGGGGATGGAAACATGTGCCCTCTGCTTGGGGATGGGACACGTGCCCTCTGCTTGGGGATGGGACACGTGCCCTCTGCTTGGGGATGGAAACGTGTGCCCTCTGCTTGGGGATGGAAACATGTGCCCTCTGCTTGGGGATGGGACACGTGCCCTCTGTTCATAAGCACACAGTGTGTTTTGATTTTACAGCCTCACACAGGAGACTGAACTTTTGAGTTGATACAGGAAGGAGTTAATAGCATGGGACTGGAGGCATAAAAATGAACGTAATTTTACATAGAAGGACATGAGTTTGGGGAGCCAGGGGCAGAATGCTAGCTTTGAATATTTGTCCCTTCCAAAATTCCTGTTGAAACTTACTCCCCAACATGGCAGTATTGAGAAGTGGGCCTTTAAGAGGTAATGGAACTTTGAGGGCTCTGTCCTTGAGCAAAGGACTACTGGTCGGAGCCCTGGGTTATCCAGGAGGGGCTAGTGGCCTAATATGAAAAGGAAGAGAAGTTGGGTCTCCTGGGCAGTGGCAGCTGCAGTGGTGTGGACATCCTGTCTATGGCTGATGGGGAGATGAATGGGGACATAGCGGGGAGAGGCCCTGCTCCTGTCAGCCGATTCAGCTTTAGCCCAGAGCCCACGCTCAAGGACATCCGACACCTCCATGCCGAGTTTGCTGCTGAATGAGACTGGGACCAGTTCCACCAGCCTCAGAACCTCCTCCTGGCCTTGGTGGGAGAAGTGGGGGAGCTGGCAGAACTCTTTCAGTGGAAGCCTGATAAGGAGCCTGGTCCCCAGACATGGCCACCCAAGGAACGGGCAGCCCTTGACCAGGAACTTAGTGATGTCCTCATCTACTTGGTGGTGTTAGCTGCTGGGGGGGAGCCATCCTCATCTACTTGGTGGTGTTAGCTGCTGGGTGGGGGAGCCATCCTCATCTACTTGGTGGTATTAGCTGCTGGAGGGGAGCCATCCTCATCTACTTGGCAGTGTTAGCTGCTGGGTGGGGGGAGCCATCCTCATCTACTTGGTGGTATTAGCTGCTGGGGGGGAGCCATCCTCATCTACTTGGTGGTGTTAGCTG